AGAAGGCATGCTTCGTCGGTTGGACACATGCAGATTAAAATACCTACAGAATTTTAACATTGATCCAAGATAATTGCCAAGCCGCACCACAAACACAAATAATGTCCAACACAGTATAAAGGTGGTAAATAGTTAACGAACTACATATGTATGTTTATTCAGAAGTTGCGAAATTCTTAGCTGACAGCTTCACAGCCATGTGGAAATACACTCCAATGAAATCATTAATTCATATAAGCTAGATCGATAAACGACACCCATTAAATCAAACTTGATTAAACAGGTCCAATATTTGTTGTGAATATGTTCTTAAATCAATTTGGAGAACACAGGGCTACTGAAGCTTGGCACATCAAGTATGCTGGTGTCAAGGAAATAAGGCTGCCTCCGTGGTTCAATGGACGGGACGTCTGCCCTGACAACATCAGGGTTCGATACCATGGATGCTTCACACCCGACGTTAGAAGCTGCTACTTGTTAACGGGACCGCCTCCGTGGTGTAGTGGTAAGAACGTCCCCCGAAGAGCGGAAGGTCGCGGGTTCGTTCCCTGGCCGTGTCATACCAACAGACGTTAAAATATGGTACTTGTTGGTCCCTGCCTGGTGCTCGGCATTAATGGGTGCAACAAGGACTGGTCGGCTCGGAGTCAGTATAATGTGTCAGAGTGGGGTATTCATGCTTAACTGCGGCATGGTATCTCAGTGAGCTAGCACGATAAAACCAACTGAAGTCTGGGTTAGTACAAGCAGCCACACATACACACGCATGCACGTCGTCATATGAGCGAAATATACTTAAGTGCGACGTTAAACCCCATTTTACCTGTTTACTGCCTGGCGTTCAGCATTAAGCGGATGAAGCAAGGGCTTGTAAACAGTAAACTGTGTCTGAGTGGAATAGCCATGTTAAACTGCATCACGTTGTGGATATCGAATCAAACATGATGAGACCCGTGAAGATCCGGGTTAGAATTGATCTTTAGTAACCCATGCTTGTCGTAAGAGGCGACAAACGGGATCGGGTGGTCAGGCTCGCTGACTGTGTTGACACATGTCATCGTTTCCCAATTGCGTAAATCGATGTTCATGCTGTTGATCCCTGGATTGTCTGGTCCAGACTCGATTACTTACAGACCGCCGCAATATAGCTTGAATATTGCTGAGTGCGGCGTAAAACTAAACATGATGAACTACCACAGAAGCACTCACATCGTTACAAAAGTGCAATGTTCTTGATAAGTTAAAGGGGCGATAGGGTAGCCTAGTGGTTATCGAGTTCGCTCCTCACGAGAAGGCCCGTGTTCGATTCCCCACATGGGTAAAATGTGCGAAGCCCATTTCTGGTGTCCCCCGCCGTGATATTGCTGGAATGTTGCTAAAAGCGGCTTAAACCTAAACTCACACACTCACTGTTCGGTTAAATCCAATTTGGCCTGCGTTACATGTAAGAAATCTGTCTTTACCAGATTAAACAGGACGATTGAGAATGAGGTTCTGCGCCATACCCATTTTTGGTGGGTTGCTAAGGTTTGGAGACGTTGTGTGTTAAGGAAGCAGGCCAACGTTCCACAAAGATCTTAACGCTAAGATGATCGTAACTCATACATTAGCTTACAGCAGTAGTAACGCAAAGATAGCTATGTTGAACGTTGGCCATGGGAGTCCCTAAGAAACCGATGCAACCGATTCTTGTAAATCATTCTAAAAACAAGTCAGTTCTGTCATTTGGAGATGTTTGTTAACCGCAAATACCAAATCTTAATGTATTGATTAAAGAAGTCTACGATCGCTATCGACGTGATGCAACTCTGAAGCCATCACGGTCGTCCATATACCCTACAGCTAATACAGAATCACAACAGAAGCATTGACAACATAAAGGTATAAAAACAGCGACTTTGCAACGTTACATGTATAGCAATTCGTCGTCATGGACACGACCCACTGTCTTGTTTAATTGGGAGGCCCGAGTTTAACCGTTGTATTCTATGTATCCAACAAAGTAAACACTAGGAATAAGTGGGTAGACATTGAGCATTCAAAGCTGCCAGAAACAATATGTTTGTTGAATCGATGTCGCAGAAGAATGTTTACGACATTAAAACGAATCCGTTGTCAGTTTGTTCTTGGAGGTGAGTAGGTACTTTGTATTAAAGAGCCACTGTTCTTGGAACATTCAGTAAGAAAAGGTAAGAAAAGTAAACATTTAGTATGAAGTAGTTATGATCTTACTGTCAAGCCTGATTACAGAATGAGCTAGTAATACACTTATGGAATCCATGCTACAAACCACTGCCACGAAACAAGCCCCACTCTGAAAACAAAACATTTGGTTTGTGACTATATATAGTATTGTGCTGAAGTATCGACGTTTGATAAATTAAAACAGCTTGTCAACACTATTTTCAGTAATCATGTTTTTGTTATTGATTGTGTTATTAATTCATTGTTGTCTATTATAATTGTCCTCATTATGACAATATGAATTGACGCTGATATTGTTTTCTTAACAGCTTAATCATAGGTAATGCATACCGTTATAGCGCTGACAGTAAATGAAATTTATTATGTTTCTAGGCATGGCTGAATGATCTCTAATTACAGACACCTTTGTCATTGATGTCGTTTGTCGTTATGAATGAGCAGTGGGTAATATCGATGTCGTTCTTAGTAATGACTGAAACATGTGTATTGACGTCGTTATCGATTAAGTGAATCCTGCATAAGGTATTATAACTTGTTTATTTTGTCACCATGGGTTGTGTTTTATTGATTATTCCTGGATCGTGGACCGTGTCATGTATTGTCTTGTACCGGACATATTCTTAATGTAGTTTATACAAAGGTGCATCCTTGATACGATTCGTCTGGGTTCACGGTATAGCAAGCAATGTGTAGCAAACCAGCAACGCAGTATGCAGTATGTCGGAACACCATGTACAGTATACGGGGAACATCATGTACATTAAACGGGGAACACCATGCGCATTGTACGGGGAACATTTTGCAGAGTGTACGGGGAACACCATGTACAGTATACGGAGAACACATGTACAGTATACGGGGAACACATGTACAGTATACGGAAACACCATGTACAGTATATTGGGGAACACATGGCAACACATGTACAGTATACTTGGAACACTGTGTGTACATGTATAATGGGAACGCATGTACAGTATATGGGAACATGTACATGTATACGGAGAACATACATGGGGAACGCCATGTACAGTATACGGGGAACGTACCATGGTATACTGGGACATGGGGAACACATGTACAATATACGAGGAACACAGTATACGGGGAACATGTACAGTATATGTGTACGGTATACTGGGAACACCTATGTACAGTATAGTACGGGGAACACTATGTACAGTATACGGGGAACACTATGTACAGTATACGGGGAACACTATGTACAGTATACGGGGAACACATGTACAGAATACGGGGAACGCCATGTACAGTATACGGGGAACGCCATGTACAGTATACGGGGAACACTATGTACAGTAAACGGGGAACACTATGTACAGTATACGGGGAACACTATGTACAGTATACGGGGAACACTATGTACAGTATACGGGGAACACTATGTACAGTATACGGGGAACACTATGTACAGTATAGTATACAGGGGAACACTATGTACAGTATACAGTATACGGGGAACACCATGTACAGTATACGGGGAACACCATGTACAGTATACGGGGAACACTATGTACAGTATACGGGGAACACTATGTACAGTATACGGGGAACACTATGTACAGTATACGGGGAACACTATGTACAGTATACGGGGAACACTATGTACAGTACACGGGGAACACTATGTACTGTATACGGGAACACTATGTACAGTATACGGGGAACACCATATACAGTATGTGGGGAACACAACGATCGTTTTGCTGGAAGCAATGTCCAGTGAGGGATGTCCAGTAGGCAGTGGAACACATTGTACGGACAAAATACAAGACCATAATATAAAGTACCACACGCTATCAGACAAAGCCACCGTGATTCCTGTAGTACTTTAGACATGGCTACTTCAGACAAACTGCAGTCGTCTTCAGGCACTGGTCTTTGTGACTTTGATCGATGAGCTTATAAAATCGATACCAATAAGTATCAACGGTTTGAGAAATGTTTCGTGGGATGGTTTCACTTAGACGCAGACTTACTAACGGCTGACTAGACGCCGTTGTTGTCGGCAACATCTTCACCAACACCTAGAAACTCCATTACATGTAACTGTCATTAATGACAGAACGCCAAACACGGCTCTGATATGTATATCTGTGCGGGCTTCCACAATTGAATTGTGCAATTTCAATTTTCCTCTGCGGAATAATATATGGACTTTGAGATTACATACCTCCAAAATCCCAGCTTGAGTATTCAGTAGATTTATTTATATTGAACCCCATGGTGAATGGAAGTAGGCAATGGCGAGTATAAGAATGATATATTTCTAAACAGATACTCCTGAATGCCGTTCCTTGAGCATCAGACGATATAATTCATTTGACAACGTACAATCAAGTCAGACGAATCTCCCGAACCACAGCTCGCCGGCTAAAACTCTTTTATATTCAACTTCTGTGCAACATCCAGCTTTCATGCAAGTCGAAATTGCCAATTTTTTTTATCAATTTTGATATTGCTCTGATTTAAACGGAGAAAATCTACAAGAAACGCGATATGTTGATTCAGAGTAGGGTGCGCGGAAAATACATTTATTTCAAGTTTTTGAAGCTCAAACATCAATTTCTAAGTCAAACTACTTTTTTCTGCTACGAAATCAAAATATTTCTCAACCACCTCGAGATTAACCGTGAGACCCGCGGCCCAATGGAAATGCCTCTCGACCAGCAGTCCATACTAAGCAGGACCGGCGGTAGTATCGCGAGGCTGGTATTGATTGGTACAGTTTGTCAATAAGTCTTGCCAAGCGATTGGTTACAAATGAAGAACCTCGACCACGAGAAACAGCACCTCTCGCTCATTTTGTGAATGAACTGGAGAGATGCGCACGTTATCCGAAGAGCTCTCTCAATGATTGGGCACGTGCATTTGGTAAGCTTCTAACAGGATGTGAATGAGGATGCTGTCCACGACGGTGACTTATAATGCCGAAATACTGAAGGCTTTTTCAATGTGGATTTGGATTCAAAGCGGAAGTTGCTGCTCCATGGATATTATCTCACAGAAGGCACAGCTGACCAGGAATGCGATGTCCATTTAAGTCGTAAGTGTTTGTTGACGTGTGGTGTGAGGTTTTCGTGGATGCACTTGAATGTTGTTGGTATTTCTGTCACACAAACACGACATTACCAAGACGTATATAACCACAGTAATGGGGCTTCATCATAGGACAACCATGTTCTGTATATATACATAACGTGAAGCATTAATAACTAGTATTAATTGGATGTCTAGCATGTGGCGACGATGTCCATGACAGTCGTGATATGGCTATATGAAACCGTACACACTGCTGGAGAACAACGATTTCTAGTAATGTTCGTAAATCAATGATATACATTGATGTTCAAAACACGGATATTTATTGCACAGAATTAATTCCATATGGTTTGGAATTATTTTCAATCAACGAACAAGGGATCAATGGTAGAAATCAACGAGTATATAGTACTGTACTTAAAAGATAGCATACGTTGATGGTAACACGGATATCTATTGTACAGAATGAATTTCATTTCGGTTGGAATTCATTTCAATCAACGAACATGGTAGTTACAATTTATTCAATACAAATACATGTTATCTCGCAAATTGATGCTACTTGAACACGGTTCAGCTTCTCATTTCCGTCTCACTTTAAGGAGTGACAGACTGACAGATGTGCTTTTCAAACTGTTGACATATCTAGGCAACGCGTTTATGCACTTTCACCATTAAATCGCCTCGTCAACTCTCCACACTGTGTGGTCCCTGTTCGTAGTGGTCTCGCTGGATGACGTGGTGCGTTGTAAATAAAAGCATCAAAAACACCGTTGTTGAAAGCACCAACGTTCTTGAAACTATTTCAAGAATGTTGTTAATTCCTATCAGCCCCTCCCGTACAGTTGTTGTGTATTTCATAGCATGTCATTATCGCTTGTCGGTTCCCTTGTCAATTTCAGCATTGTTCATTGCACTCTCTTCGCCCATCGATATCTGCAGAAGCCGGTGCCATTGACATTCAAATCGACAGATTTCATTATTTGGCACCGTCCACGTTGAGACGAAATTGCCTCTTCAATTCCAGCGAGTTTGGGAGAACTGGATGGGTGAAAAACGATGACTAACTTGATCTGCCATTAAAGCTGCCTGTCAGTCAAAGAGACATCGATCATTCAGACAATATTATCTCGTTCTGAACACTGAGAATGTTCTGATGGTAAAAAACGTTAAACGATACAGAGCGTTTCAGTCTACTCTCTCTTGAAATATTATCCCATACAAGGTCTTCCATGTTGACCTCTGTAATTACGTTTCGTTTATGATACCGTAATGTTACACAATGCCGGTTTCGACGTGGGTGGTATGACTGACTAATACTACCCAACGAACCAATAGCGTCTTATTTAACGGTGTAGAAAATTACACTTGGAATTAAAACTAGTTTATTTCGAATATAATACATAACCCTCTGATGGCTTCCTTTACAGGGTGAGGGTATGTCTAGCTTTGGCTCAGTATCATTTCAGCCAGTGATATGTGTCTCATCCCTTTGATGTTGGAGTTGTCGTCAAAATTCGATTATATTTTATTTGGGGGCACGTCATCGAGGACGCTGAAATGGGTTGTGCATGACTGAGTCGTCGACGGGTACCTATAATCGTGGGTTCGAATCCCAGTTCGCCCGGAATGTGTTTCTACATCATCATCATCGTCATCATCGTCATCATCATCATCAACATCATTATCATCATCATCATCATCATATCCGTACACGAGTATTTCATCATGTGGGGTAGTCTGGTGGTTAAAGCGTTTGCTTGTCACGGTGAAGACCCAGGTTCGATTACTCCCAAAGGCACATCGTGTGAAGGCCATTTCTGGTGTTCCCTGCCGTGATATTGCTAGAATAGTGCCAAAAGCTAAACTCATCGTCCTGGTAAACACTTCCATCTCTCTGGACATTCTTGCCATGTTAAATTCTAATAACTAACCAGAATACTATTCAAAGCGCGATGTTAACACAAACCTAGCTCGCGCACATAAACTAGTGATACATGTTTCATCCATGTATTAGTTTTTTGGTTTTTGTTAGTCTTAATTCGATTACATTTCATACAACCCTTACGTAATCAAGTGTAAAGTCATTAAGTATATTCCTGCTTAGCAAATAAGTGTTTATTGAAGTTCAGATCTCAATCGCACCCAAAACAAGCAAGAACAACAATAACATCATAGCCAGACACTGATCCAATAAAGACGCAGTGGATATAAGGAAGAAACACGGGACCGACGTATTCTTTGTCATGCCTACCACAGCAATCCAATTCTTGTTTTTCTCTCGAAACAAGATAATCACGTTACCTTTTTATCTTCCAGTTTTCGCATAAAATTGGTGGCATCAAATTACCACTTGCACGGGAATTAAATTTCGAACTAAAAACTGTAAAGAATCGAGTAATCCTAAAACGTAATGAAGTCAGGCATGATTCACTTAACACGTCCCCAAATTGTTTATGGCCACGTGACTGATGTCATCTTTGGTGGGATGACTGTTCTGAAGGCCGTTCTTACTCAATCAGACACACTATTCAAGCATCGGTGTTTGGATCCAGTGTGTCTCCAGTGCATTCTGTGTTATATTATCAAGACAAGACAAGGACAAGATTTTTATTAGGTCAAAGACCAATACAATATAAATATACTGAATATTCGCCTGTGCACATGGCGAGGTACGTATATAGAGAGCAATCATATTGTTATTATCATTATTGTCGAGTGAGGATATGTGTGAACGATTTACAAAAAATAATTTTGTTTCTTTCATTTCAGATATAATAGATACACTTTGCAGCTTTCAATATTTCAGAACTGTTTTCACGTTTTAACAATTTGATAAACTGAAACATACTTATATTTTCCAATAAAGTATAGGTATTCCTCGATATTTTTGACAATTTTCAGACCAAATGCCAGAAGACCCAAATGTCCGCTAGATATGGTTTGTCTTCACAAATTTTATATTTGCCTTAACATCATTCAGAGAGAGAGAGAGGGAGAGATAGAGAGAGAGAGAGAGAGAGAGAGAGAGAGAGAGAGAGAGAGAGAGAGAGAGAGAGAGAGAGAGAGAGAGAGAGAGAGAGAGAGAGAGAGAGAGAGAGAGAGAGAGATGGACAAAACAGATGCCTAAAAACAATTCCTACTGTGTAACAGGAGTGAAGCTGTAGTCACCTCTTGTGCGACAGAGGGAAGAAGCCAGCTAATTCACACACCTAATGATTTTCATTTCAAAATGACGTGGTATGCAAGTTAATCAGTTTACCTTTCTAAACACACTCCTGGGAATGATTTGTTTCAAATATATTTACGATTGCTAAATTTCGGTAATCCGTACAGGAATTAATCCTTGAGAACCCATGCTAGTCCTAAAAGGCGACGTACTGGGTCGAGTTATCAGAATGTCAGTGGTAGATGCATGTCATATAATCCCCAAAGCGAAGATCAATGGTCACTAAATTACCTGGTCTGTTTCATTTACAGACCACCGTCATATAGCTTGAAGAATTCTGACTGCATCGTTAAACAAACAAACAAACATACAAAATATCCTCAGGTTAGGTTCTTTCAATATGCTGTGCATTCCTCTTTAGATTCATTAAGCTCCACATTTTTGGTGACCCCGCCGTGATATTGCTGGAATATTGCTAAAGCGGCGTAAAATCATACTCACTTACTCATTAAGCTCCAACTGTTTCAAATCACCACACACATATATGTCAGAAGTACAACATCACTGTACCGTTGATCAATATATAGTACCTACATTACCATGTTAATGTCGTGTTTAGGAATGACAAAGGGAAATATCGACGTCCTTGTAAGCCCAATTATTGTCCAGCGTCTCCTTTGCTTACATCTGTCTCCACTGCAGAGACTAATCACAGAAGTGGTCTTGTTCTTTGAAGTTTAACGGGAAATCATCCTGTTTGATGTTGTCTTTCTTTGTCAAATGATACATTTTAAAAAGAAAGAATCTTTGATGCCATACTTTACCGCCAGGTAATCGGTCAGAGTAAATACATTTATTTTAATCAAACAGGTATCCATTTTCTTCAAAGCTGATTTTAGTAATTAGACTCATGTGGTGGTTTGAACACATGCAATCATGGAGTCATATTCCGTTTCTGTTTAACATTAATGACTGAGTCTGAAAGAAACATTTGCCTAATGACTTAATGTAATAGTGCATACAGATTCGACGTGTTTAGGTAAGCTCAAATCATTCGAACATATCACGATATAATTCTGGAAACCCAAAACTTCAGAAACTCTCAACACTGTGGTCAGATTCTGACAAAGGATTTGACAAAATTCAGCATGCAGTTATAATGAATATATGCTAAGGGCGAACAGTGAGTGTGTGAGTGAGGTTAATTTAAGTCACGTCGACATTATTTCAGCCATATTGTGACATGATCAAGTTATACAGCTACAACCTTAGGGCGAACAGTGGCCCATAGGCTTGCCCAATACCCATGTTTTGGAGGTTGTGTACGAATGAAAGTAGGTTTAAAAGTATCATGACACAAAACTCAACCCATTTTAATTGAATTCGGCTAATTAAGAGCGTTATCAAATATGTCGCCCATGTATCTTTACCTTCATCTATTACAGATTTGTATGGACAATGAGATGAAGATGTTCACATTCAGATACAGTTCAAAACTAACAAAGGATACCACACGCGAAGAAACACCTTCAGCTCTGCTACACTGAGACCCGGAGGCTTACAAGGAGAGTGTAAGTATTTTCAACCCATTTTACAGGAAAAACAAATAGAATAATGAAATATGCAACACAGAATTTGTTATTCCTTCTTCAATGAATGACAGCGGTACCCTTCCCACATCCACAATATATCGCTGAAAAATTCCGACTATATCAAGAACATAATTTATGAATCTCTATGAAAATAGTCATGATACGAGGTGTTCGCAAATGGGTGAGCGTATCGCATCCCACTGGTGGCACCCGTCACAAACATATTCAATGGCTTGTCAGTTGGCCTGAACAAACTCGGTAACGTACTATAGGACAAGTCAAAATAGGGAATCCCATCGAATATCAGTTTGGTCACTGATGCGTCAAATTCGAAAATGCCCTTCACATTTCCACCATAAAACATTTGTTTTTGGAAAAAGACACATTTACAATCCTACAAATTACACTCATTTAACCAGAGGATGTACGTGTTACTTGTATATTTGGGCAGTACTGATGCTAACCTGGAGGTTCTGGAAGACTAGTCCTGAGTTCTTGTGTAAAACCTATACTACTAGTTCTCAGAGTTTGCACCTAGTGTTTATTGAAGTAACACTCGTGTACTAGGTTTTCATTTTTGTCAGATAATGAGTATAATTTGAAACACTATTGAAGCAGTGAACCCTGGTTCAGTCATTGCCGTTAAATGCTACTAGTCCATTGGACTTCTATTACTGGGAATCGTTTTATTCTCAGAACAATTTGGTAGTTTAGGAGGAGCAGACTAATTTGAAAAATTTGAAGGCTTCTGATTCAATATTCTGAATTCGATCCTATGGTTCTGGTCTGAATCGTCCTTCTGATGACCATAACTGGTTTAACATGTGTTCACAGCGTCCGTACATGTACCAGCACAGCTAACAGTAAGATGTCACTTCAAAACAGATGAATAAAGTGTTTGGCAGTTTTTAAACTCTCTTTTAAACTGTATTTATACTGTTCTTTGAATGAAATTGAGAAGTGATACACGTAAGGAAGATAGAGTTATTTATGAATATTGTTGGACACTGCAGGAAATCTAGCCTCGTGACAACGGATTTTAAACAAAAATTCAGGGAAATTCTTTGACGTGGACTTATTTCAGAAATGACTTGAAATGACACAAGTGGTTGGTCTGAAGTAGCAAAGGTATCCTTTTGGCAAATAGAAACGTTTGAGTGACATGGATGCTGTCGTTTTACACACTGTAGATTCCTCGGAAAGCACCAGGTGTAGACCGGCGATTTGCAGAGACTCATGACTCACGACTCAAAAGAGTACGCTGTCGCCTCACGTTCTCATTTAATGGATATCCCCTTGAGAAAGCATCAAACGCGAGTCTACATTCACCTGTACAAGGAATAATATTACATTATCAACAGAGATTATGACATTATTCTTGTACGACACCTCACGTCAAACCCTCAGAATGATCTGTGTCTGTCCTTAACATAGATTATACCCACCCCTACCCATTCTTCTCCTAACGGTATCTGTAGGGTAGTTTAGTGGCTAAATCGTTCGCTCGTCACGCCAAGGAACCGGGCAGGATTGTCGTAATTAGTACAATGTACGAAGCCATTTCTGGTGTCGTGATATTGCAGAAATATTGCTAAAAGCGGCGTAAAATAGAATTCACTCATTGTTCCTTTCAAGTGTATATTTAAAGTGCGCTGTTTATGTATGGGTTAAATAACTCAAAGATCGACTTGTCTTTAAACTGTTTACGAGGTTCTGTCTTATCTTTATCCTTACTTTCGTCTGTGATCTTTTGTTCCAAAAGTAGCAAGTAAAATCTGACACAAACGCATTCCAAATAAACACAACACATAGTATTTGCTCGCTGATTTCTCTGATTAATGTTTAGGCGCCACCCACATTCCGTTCTCCTAAGTGTTCCCATGGCAGCTATATTTCCTGATTATTTCAAACCAAGTTGGACTCAAGACAGAAATTATCACTCAGGTCGGACCACAATGGGCGCTGGTTCCGAATTAACAGCAACGAAATAGCGTCACCTTTTCTGTTCCGCCATAACACTGTCACGCTTGCTCCCAACCGTTTGGTTCTCTAGTATCACTGCTGTATCATAACGATCCACGATCATTGATAGGAGCCATATAAGCTGCTAACAGGGACTTAATAGACATTAACAGACACATGGTCGGTTCACGTGTTTTCGTGTTGATGTCAAGACCATTGCATTTCAAGGTTACATGATCAACTATCACCGATCAATACATGAACATCAGATGGTGATTGCTAACGATCTTCCGTAGGAACCAATTAATGCTGATCCTAAAGCCTAATGATGACTAAACACATGGCATAATTATGAGTATATCTGGATATTCAGTACATTATGGTATTATGGTTATTTTTATATTTTATACTTTTTAAAGAAATCCTTCAACATAGTTGTAGGTGACTTATCCTATCTTAAAGTTATATACAGATTGATAATCTAGTATTGATTACATTGCATTCTGTTGAAGTTCTGTTCAGGCTAGAACATTGAAAGGATTTGTCATGATGAAAGGATGAACGTTGGTCGTCTAGGAAACAAGCGGTCTTCGTGGTTGACCTGGTGACACCTTTATCATAAATATCACTACATAGTACATTTAAGCGTGGAGATACTTGCGCCGTCAACGCTGTAAAGTGATCCAGTTATGTTTTACCCTACGGAGAAGTTGTGTACTCATAAGTGAATGAAAACAGCATGGCGGTTCTCGTTTTAGTTTGAGAATAGCATAACAATCAAGAATGAAATGTCGCTAACAAACTAAGGTTCTATGCCTCCATAATTAGAGAAATCATCTACTTTTTGCCATGGTTTCTTCAACACATGCTGAAGAGAAAACGCTCGGTGCAGAACTCCCAGAGTTCTCACTGCTGAGGTAGTGACAATAGCTATAGTCACATCTTCATCTGCAAAGCCTCAGGACATTTTCTAAAAATGAAAGCGACATTATTCCGAGAAAACAATGCTGGTATCCACAGACAACATGTCTGTGAAGTTGAGGAATAAGACATTTGGTAAAAGGTAGACTTCCCCATTGGCAAAAACTATTCCGCCTTATTTCATGAGGAAACCTGTCGACTATGAGAGACAAACTCAAAATAAGACCAATTTATCCAAGGAGTTTAACATACAGGCCAGGTATATCGATGGCCTGATTTAAAAATGCCACTTCTACCATCTGAGCAGGATTGATACGAGTGAACTCGCCTCATCTGCTCTATATCTAGATCCATGCGTACCGATTCTTTGTTCCCTCAAAAAGGCTGTTTGAAAACAGTTATCCTTTTGTGTCGAGCAATATTCCAGCAAATCCAGCTTATGGCGTCTATGTTTCACAACGTTTGAGGTGCAATCGTGGTCGAAGATTTCCAAAAGCCTCACATACTTGTTCAAAAGTTGTTCCATCTAGGTAACATGTCCGAGTCCTTGGATTAACTTTCAAACCAATTAATGGTGTACAAGTGGAGAACATTAAGAAATTGAACACAACAGCGTCCAAAATGTAGTTCCACACATTCCCTACTATCAGGTGTACAGATGACCTGACCTTGCATGTGTTTGTGGCGGGGTCCAACGGTGGGTCAGGATACTTTCAGCTATTTGCAAACACCAAGCATCACCACTAAATGATTTCTATTCACAAATAGCTGTTGACGGAAACGTTTTGTGGAATCGGTTTCAGCAGGTATTTTAAGTATCTTAGGATTAAGGAAAGGGTTTTAATTAAGTAAATAATTTCAAGTATGGAAAGCAATAACAACAACAACAACAACAACAACAACAACAACAACAACAACAACAACTGCTGCTACTACTACTACTACTACTACTACTATTCCGCCATATAGCTGGAATATTGCTGAGTGCGGCGTAAAACTACACTCACTCAAAAAGTACTACTACTACTACTACTACTACTACTACTACTACTACTACTACTACTACTACTACTACTACAACAACAACAACACACACACGCCGAAATGTAAAACAAAATTCAAAAACAGAATTCTGGACATCCAGTTCATTAGACGCTTCACAACAGGACAAACACCAGCCGTGTGAAACAGATGTTCTTGTAACCGATTTCGCTGATTCACACTTGTTCGTTCAACAGGGCGTTATAAAAAGACCGATTAAGTCCATGTAACGAGTTGGAACTAACAAGTAACTGTAAATTATGAATGTCAGCATGGCGGATGTGACAATTAGTGTCGATAACGCATTAGTAAAGACGAATGACAGATGTTGGAACTATTTCCTGTGTTACGGTTTCTATCAGGACACGATTTTCACAGCTACTGTTCCTGACGTATTGAATCGATATTTATATCGCCTCTTGCTATATTGCCTCTGTTCACCCAGCAGAAAATGGGTACCCGGTGGTATAAGTCATATTACTACCAACCTTCTACCGCCCCAGAGGCAGCTCGGGTTATCCGGGGTAAAAATGTCCATCATGTTAGAGGGCTTAGAGCATGTCCCTGTGGCATGGAGTTCAGCGCTAAATAAGTGGCCAATTATTATTATCATTATATCAATTACAAAATATAGAAAAAGGCTGTATTTTACAGAAAAACGTGTTTTCAGAAAATTTCAAAAATTCCATCCCATATGAGGGTTGAGGATATAGATATTAGCGGCGGTGTCTTGTAATCATCACCAAGCCGAAAATATTTTCTACCGGCGTGACAAGAATTTATCAATGTAAGGTTGTACGATAACAAGAATTGTTATTTGGCCCATCAATCAAAACGACTGTGCGAATACGTCATTGGCATCGGAGCAATCACAGTGATTGGAGACAGGTCATAATGGCAACACGCGTCATGCCCTGTAGATTGTTGCGTCTGATCTTTTATTTATCAAAAAGAACATCTAGCATTCCCTTTCAATAAAACGATCCCATTCCATTTGAGTTCCACATTTCCTTGCCACTGAAATTGATTGCCCCAGCGGAGTTGGAAGTCAGACG